GCCCAGCAGGTGCCAGGGGGGCTTGTGCACAGCAAGGGGGGAGGCAGCTGCTGCAGGGCATCGGGGCAGTGCCAGCCATGAAAGGGAAACAGAAAGGTGAGAAGGGGGGAGTGGGTGCCAAGCAGGGACTGCTGCCTCTGTCCCACAGCTCCTGCAGGGTGGCCCAGCTCCGGGCCCATCTGGCAACAGTGACCTGCTTGGTGGCAGCTTGAGGCTGTTGAGCCACCCTGGGTGGCTCTGCTGGGACCTGACAGCACATTTGGACACGGCTGGTCGCAGGGGTGGGACTGGAGCACACATGGGCCCCTCACAGGCTGAGAGGAGCTTGGGGGCTGCAGGAAGGAGGCAGAGCTCTGTGAGGAGCTGTGTGCAAGGCCAGCCTGCAGACAGGGCCACAAGCCCAGCAAGACCCTTGCTTTGATCACTGTGCCAACTGCTCAGTGCACAGGGCCCTCATTCTGCACGCCTTCATGGCGAGAGGGGCTGCACTCCACCTGCAGGTGTTTCCCTGGTCCTTGGCATCACCTCCATGCCTGCAGATGAGCCTGCCAGCACTCGTCCTCCACGTCCCCCTTTCAGGCCTCTCTCTTCCCAGAAGACGCTCTGCTGGCTTTAGATGTGTGTCAAGTTCAGGCTTGAACGCTGCTCTCTGAGAAGGTGGAAAGCTCTGGCTCCCTCAAGGCCAGGAGCACGGCTGGTCCTGCAGACAGGAGCTGGAGCCTGCAAACAGCTGCCCCATTTCTGAGGCAGCCTGGTGGCCCTGCAGCCAGCCAGGCGCGGGTGGCAGTGCCCAGAGCACTGTGGCACTGTGACATCCCAACCAGGACATGCAAGAGGAGGGCTCAGCACCACCAGCGAGTCCAGGACCCTGGGGGGCAGGCAGGAAAGGGCTGGAAGAGGAGAAGTTAGGAGCCCAGGGCTGGCTGGGCAGGAGGGCAGGAGTCCCTGTGACTGTCTGATGCTGACGGGCTCCCTTTCTCTGCTCTACCCAGGAGTGAAATGAAGCGCTGGATGATTTCACTGGCCCCCAACCGGAGAACCAAGTTCGTTTCCTTTACATCCAGGCTTGTGGGTAAGACACAGCATAGGAGCCAGGAGCTCCTCACCCCCACCCCAGAGCACTTACTCTGCCCT